CCCATGGCTGTGGGGCACACTCAGACTCTCCTCTCTGCTGTTTTCTTGCAGACAAGCCACGGATGAACAACATCCTCACTTCAGCCACTGAGCCCTACGACCTGTCCTTCTCGCGCTCCTTCCAGAACCTCTCCCACCTCCCGCCGTCCTACGAGTCTGCTGTCAAGACGAACCCCAGCAAATACTCATCTCTGAAGAGACTCAGTAGGTGTCAGCTCTGTGTTTGGTTCCCTCTGTGTCCCGTTTGCCCTGGAGCCGCGGCGTTAGGGCGTTAGGGCGATAACGCTCATCCCTGTGCCGGGCACTCCCGAGCTGGCATCTCCCGGTAATGACTCCTTTGGCTGTCACTTCCCATCAGGGATGAGGGCACAGAGTCATTTCGTTGCCGGAAGAGCACATGTGGTTGTTTGCTTGCTGACCTGCTTGCCGTGCTGCCTCCCACGCCTCCGCTCAGACCTGCTCCCGATGGAGCCATCTCAGAATCCTTTTCCTCTCTGCTGGAGCTGAGCTGAGCCTGGCTGGGTGCTCAGAGCTGCCCTCGACACAACCAGAAAAGGGATATCACCAGCCACAAGGGCACTGGAACCACAGCACAACAAAAAGCTGCTGAGATGGTTGTGGACAGCTTTTCCAGGGGAGCCCTGCCTGCCCATGATGCCYAAAACAAGGCTCASCTGAAACAGAGGCCAGGCAAAGTTAAGAGAATAWAAGCAGACAAATTTAATCCAGGCCTACTGGTACAYTCAGRGCAGRCAAAGCCTYCTCMTGAGGCTGCACCCAGAATGGACCCCGAGTCACGAGATCTTCCCCTTTTATCAGTTCTGTCTCATGAACACATTGGGCCCCAATTCTCCAATGACACCTTCAGGTGATGATGTCACCCACCCCAAGTTTGCTCCCCCCAATTCTCTGTTGTTTCCATATTTTGAGGCTCTGAGGCAGCGAAGTCTCCTTGGATTTCAGACCAGAGAGGAATTGTTTTGTCTAAAGATGGGAGAACAGGAGCTCAGTGCTGTGCACTGGAGAAATACAAGAGTACAAGAGACATGAAAATATAGAAACTAAAAATCCKAAGGCACCACCCTGGGCAGTGCTGTGATCTCAGTGTCCTGTGGTGTGTGTCCAGAACTGCTCCTGCCCTGTTCCTGACCTGTCCCAGAGTGTTCTGGATATTCCAGCGGGTTTGCCCTATTCACACTCATTAGCATTTCTCCTTTCCTGCTGTTTTATGGGTTCCGTTGTTCTGCCAGTGGCCCCACAATGCTCCAGTTCATCCCCTTTGCTGATCTCAAACCGTCCAGCCTCAGTAGGATTCCGAAATGAGTGGTTTCTGTGCAGGAAATGCTCTCTCCACACTCACCCTGGGCCATGAGCAGTTTCTGGGTGCAGCCATGGAGTCACACTGCCTAATTTAGAGAAATAACGCAGGTGTTTACACTTGCAGTGGATCTTTGAGGGGAGGATGAGAAGCAGGTCTAACTTATTCTGTATAAAATCTGCATTCCCAGTTTATCCAGCTAGGGCAACACACCAAATTAAGTGGAAGGGAAGCCCTTGGACTGTCCGTAAGAAATCCCTGTGGAAGATTTTTCAGATGACACATGGAAATATAGCCCAAAAAAACCAAAACTCTACTGCCTGGCACTTCAACATGGGACTTCTGTGCTTGTCTTATATTAAGACTTCCCCAAATTCACTTGATGTGCACAAGAATGTGCTGACCTGTGTTGGAGCCCAGAGCTGAGGTATTTGGGGTTTGGAGCCTGCCCTCTTCCCCATTCCCTGTACCCTGTGCACAGCTCTGCTTCTGCCATGAGCTTTGTTCCCTGGAACATTTGGATCTCACACTCCCAGCCAATGGAATGATCCCTTAACAGCATCCTAGGGATGAACAGCCCATGCTCATGGGTAGGCAGGATGATGCTGTCTGATATTGGAAACCCCTTGGAACCACAGCACTTTACTATTTGTGCTTGAAATTGTCCCTGTTGGGAGGTGATCAAAAGCAGAATTTCTCAGCAAAAAAAATGTACCCTCTAAAGGCCCTGGCACAGGGTGCCCAGAGCAGCTGTGGCTGCCCCTGGATCCCTGGCAGTGCCCAAGGCCAGGCTGGACATTGGGGCTGGGAGTGACCTGGGACAGTGGGAGGTGTCCCTGCCATGGCAGGGGTGGCACTGGACATCTTTAAGGTCCAGTCCAACCCAAACCATTCTGGGACTCTACAGTGTGATTCTATGATTTCTTAGATATTTGTCCAAAATGGCAAAACCAGGTTTGTGTTCAGGTGCCAGGATTAACTGTTCTGGGTGTGGTCAGTGCTCCCAGAGCCTTTCCTGTCCCCTGGGCAGTCCCTGTCCCACCCAGTGGCCCCTGGCCATCACCAGGAGGCCCTGCAGTGAGCAGGGGTCCCTCCTGTGTATCCACCAGGGCAGGTCTGGACACACTTCAGGGATCTCTGCAAGGCACCAGCCCAGCCTCTTGCAAATGCCAGAGCAACTGCTCGACTCTGTATTTTTGAGTCTCCAAATAATTTCAGCTCTGGAAGTGCCAAGCCCTCCCTGCTCCCACTGGGACTGAATACACTCAGCACCTCCAGAATCACTGAATCACTTTCTTACAGCTGCTCTGCTCCAGAGCCAAAGGAAAAGAGGCACCCAGCTCCCAAACCTCCCTTGCAAAATGCCAGCGAGGTAATTCTCTTATTCCATRTGAAGGAGCTAAAAGCAGCACARAAAACTGCAATATCTAAAAGCTGGGTTTGAAAATAATTTATTGGGTCTTCATTTTTCTTATTTAAAATTACTTTTTTCTAATAGATTCTCTGTCATTGTTAGGGAAAAAAAGGTTATGAAGAGCTCATTAACAAATATAATATTTCTATTTGAGGAAAATAAAAAGCATTAGATATTTTTTAAATCTATGTTTCAGCTGCTTGTCTTGGTTTCTTTGGGCTTGTCAAGCAGGGAAAGGTCACTTATTTTCCTCCAGTCAGCAGAGACAGTTTGTGAAAGACAATTTCTGCCTGAGAATACCTAAATTGAATAACCAAAGCTTATCCAAGAGAAAATAACATTTAACATCTTGTTGCCAAAGATAAGGAGACAGAGTCAATGAGGGCAGGGTCAGCTCCATCTGCCCCCTCCTTGGTCACAAATCAGATGTCCCCTGTCCCCATGACCTGTGATTAGGGGAGCACAGGTGGAGGCTCCCAGGCTCTCGGTGACACCTGTGATTCCAAGATTTCAGCTCCCAGAGAAACTTTGGTTTGGCTTTGTGTAACCAGACCTCCTCATTCCCCACCCCTCCCAGTGGGAGAAGCTGCTGTAACTCCTCTCTCCCCAGCCTGGAGCTGGATTTGTTCCCTGCTGTCCCTGGGTACAGGAATGTTGTGGTTGGGGTGATTGCCACACAACATGCACRYCAGTAGCCTTGCAAAGAGTGAAAACCGTTTAGTCAAAGGATCAGTCTCATTTTATACACTATTGATGTTATCATTTATGTTAYGTATTCATTGGCTGGTAAACTACTACAATAGATTAACTGGCTGTTACTCACCTGCAGCACAACACTGTTGGTTACCTACAGCATAAGCATTGAAGCATTCAGAAAAACACCAGGTGCAGCCTTGGTTTTCTCCTTTGATTGTTTAAGTTTCTTACTTCTGTTGATACTACATTCTYACAGGTAGAAATTCAGTATCTTTCTGCTCACAGGCTTTTCTCACAAATAGAAGCTGACCATATCCAGAGTCCTTCTCTGGTTAGCCAAAGTAGCAGGGGAGAGCAAGTGTTTTACAGGGGCAACATGGCCCTGTTTAATAAGGTTTTACTTATCCACAGCACAGGATTTYTGTGGTCACAGAGCTGTGATGAGCTCTCTGAGCTGCAATTCTTTCCTGCCAGGCTCCATTCTCCATCCCTGGCTCAGGCTGGCACCCACCCAGAGCCACCAGCCTGGAAAATGTCTGTCTGTGCTGTCAGAGCAGCTCGCTGGGTGTGACACACGGCTTCTCCAGCTCTGCTGGCTCCTTTGAGGTAGAGATGAGAGGTTTTCCTACACCTGGAAATGTTCTGATGCCTTAGGATTTTTYAGYTTCTATATTTTCATATACCTGTATTCTTGTACTTCCCCAAACAGCATTGAGCTCCTGTTCTCCCATCTTTAGACAAAACAATTCCTCTCTGGGYCTGAAATCCAAGGASACTTYRCTGCCTCAGRGYCCCAAAATATGGAAACAACAGAGAATTGGGGGGASCAAAYTTGGGGTGGGTGACATCATCACCTGAAGGTGTCATTGGRGAATTGGGGCCCGATGTGTTCATGAGACAGAACYGATAAAAGGGGAAGATCTCGTGACTYRGGGTCCATTCTGGGTGYAGCCTCAGGAGGAGGCTTTGTCTGSCCTGAATGTACCAGTAGGCCTGGATTAAATTTKTCTGCTTTTATTCTCTTAACTTTGTCTGGCCTCTGTTTYAGGTAATCAGTTTAGGCATCAGTTCCTTGTTTTAGAATCAGGTCCTTGTTTTAGGCATCAGTTCCTCCTACCTGTGTCCCTCAGCCCCACAGGGACACAGCTTGAGTGGGCTTGGGAACATCTTTGATATCAGATCCGTTCCCTGGAAGGTTCAGCCCTGGCCAGCAAAAGGCTGCACAGACTCGAACAAGGGTCACAGGGTGGGAGAAGAAAGGAAAAGATAATTTTAATGCTCCTAACAGACAAAATGTTTAAAGGTATAGCGCATGCAGCATTTTTAATCTAAATTAGCAAGGAACAATTTCAAACCACTTTCAATGAGTTGATTGTGCCGCCTCTCTGGCAGGCTCKGGGCTGTAAACCTCACATGAGCTGGTTGAGCTCCTGCTGGCAATTACCACAGCCAGGTGTGAGCATCCAAGCACAGCTCCATTTGGGATGTTGTGTGCTTTAATTACATCTATTTAGAGTCACTTGGGCAAATCCAGTGGAGCTCCCCTCATCCAGAGCAGAGGCCMCCTGCCAGAGGGCTAATTGCCTCATTCCCACATTGTCACTGAGCCTGGGCACACCCAGGGTGGCATTTCTGTCCAGGGGCATAATGTAGAGTAAAAATGCCTGCAGTTCCTGGGGCTATATGGAATTTCCCCAGTWTGCCYAGAAGATGATTTTAAAGAGAGCTCRAGGCCAGAAGAACYKCKRKCTGACATTTGCAGCAAGACATCCTTCCAGGAAGTGYTGGATGGCAAAAAACAAAGAGTCATTCCTACAGTGTGTGCTCTGGAGAGCAAATCCCACGGGCACGAAGGGAGCACGGGGGATTGACCTCACGCTTTGGGGGTGTGTGGGCTGTGAGGAAGGCGGGGGCAGCAGCAGAGGTGCCAACTGGCTGTGGCACAGATGTTCTGAGCTCCTGCTTCTGCCTGTGAGACAGGGAACCAACACCCCATGTCAGCTCCCTGCACTGTGCACAGCGAGGGGAAAGTGTGGGAGAGGGGACGAGGACAGGAGCCAGGACGTGGCCCAACACAGGGTGCTGACACCATGCCAAAATGCAGTCCCCTAAAACAGAGCCCAGA